TCCACATTTGTTACTAGGCTTATAAATCTTGAAGCTTTTTGTGATTTTGCATGTCCTGTGTGTTATAAATAGTCCCATCTCTTCTAATAGGTATTGTCAAGGCTTCGAGTTTTGGTTTATTTCTGGAATTATGGGACCAAAAGCACGTATGCCAGGTTAGAAATGATCCTAACTTATTAATTGCTCCGTGTTTTTGTATGCGAACAATGGGAGCTTCTCACTCACAACATACCCTCTCATCACGAGAAATTACATAAAAAATTCATCTTTTCAAGCCTTATCGAGTCGAGCTCGACTCGTTAACCAAACGAGCTCGAGTTGAGTCAAGCTCACGAGCAGCTCGTTTAATTTAACAACTCTATGTCTATTAGGTTAATGATGAGGCTAACTTGTTAATTGATTCTCAAACGATGTGGTAACTTTTGGTTGAGTACATTTGGAGCGACAAGTACGACCGTACGTGTGAGTGTAGAACTTTTTACCGTTGGATCACACACTCACACATACCCATACGGGTGTGTGTTGATCCAACGGTAAACAAAGTCAGAAGTGAGTTAGAATTGAAGGTAACATTGAATTTATCATTTGGGGCATATTTGTTTGATAGCTTTTTGGCATTGCCAATTATTAAAGTGATGCAAGTAAAATGGTCTTAACAACTTGATTACCAACTTTTGGAAGGTCAAGTTTAGTGACATCATTACCAAAATCCTATTATAATCTTAGACTACTAAATTCTTTTACATCACAGAATAATTTTTGAAAGTCAACCTCGAGGTGGGATTTTAAACACTGCATTCTCATCCACAACTCTAAATAAATACCAAGTTAATTTCAAAATTGGGAGGCCAATAAAATTGGTATAGAAAATATTTTAGGGGTCACTAAAATTTATAGACTTCATTAATATCATTCAAAATAACGTACCCTTTTCGTACAATGGACCAAAAATGATATTAAGAAAACCGGGAAGACATTTCAATTTCATTTTTCTGTGTTCGATATCTGATTAAACTTAATATATGTAGCTGACTGAATCACGAGTAATAAGAAAAAAAAAGACCGTATTTGTTAAAAACAGGGGTTGACATTTCATGTGAAGGTAAATTGGTAGTTTTAAGGGATTAGGCATATATGTTTGAGATCAGCAAGTGTGTCATTTTGTAGCTCCTTTAAAGGGATATTATTTTACAAAACATGGTATCAAAAAAGGCCAAACAAGAGATCAGAATTCTCATGCAAAATTATCCAAATTAAGATTAATTTAATGGTAAATTAAATATAAAATTCAAGAATTTTATAATTTAAATATGTGCATAACATACAGATACAGTATTAATTACTTGTCAAATGTCCTAATATTTGTGAATTATTTGTTGTGTGGATAAAAGGAGGTGGATGTACCACTTCAATGATTAGCAGTACTTTTATAGGTAAAATTTATATTATCATTTGTTGAATTTTATTACACAAATTCTTGTATGGGGCAGCTTAACCGTTAGGCGGATCGACTCATCATATATTACTTGAGAAAAACGTATACTTGTGATATAAAATGTTATACTGTTCTTTTGTTCATGTTGTTTTTTAGAATTTCAGTTTTAAAGAGTGCATATTTGTTGATTATATATTGTCTTTAAATGTGTGTAAAAAAAATAATTATAATTTTATATAAAAAGAAAAAAAAATTGTATTATGGAGTAGTCTTCTTTGCTGATGCATGCAAATGAGAGTCAATGGGGAGAGAGAGATTCTAGCCTTAAGAGAAAGACAAACAGAAGCATGTTTTCTTCTTCCTAAAGATCAGAGTCTACTTTAATTATATATAAATTGTATAAATTATCTTTTTAAATTTTTGACATTTTTCTCCTTGTAATTTCTATCAAAGTGCGGTTGAGGCCCATCTTGTTCTTATTATAAAATTATTAGAAGAAATTAGGAGTAAAATATTAATATATAGGGTACCATAAACGAAGGTCAATTAATGGGGTCTTCCTATACTAATTTAAATGACCAGTTTTAATTATTTAAGGGGCGTTGTGCTCTATTTTTCCCCTTACCCTTTTGTATTTCAACATTGATCAATTCTTTGGTATAAAATATTAAAAAACGTTATCCAACTTGTTAACTTTTAAGGTGTCCGAACGCAACAATATTTATAATCCCAGTTATGCTTTAATCAACAACTAGTACGTGGCCCGTGCGGTGCACGGGAAAATATTAATTTGATTGTATTATAAATTAAATAAATAAATAACATTAATCATGATTTATCCATTATTTATAAATTAAACCGGGTTGGACACAGTCTGACCGGATGGACCGAGAACCGGTTTATAACCGATTTAGGCGCTTGAATAAAATATTTGCTATCGAATCCGCCAACACCAGTATGTTGGACTGGTAAGATCGATACGATTTTCTAAACAAATTTTGTTACATGAAAAATTATTTTAAATAAAATTACATATTTAAATAAAATAGAGATTTATAAATTGTTTATCAATTAGTTTAAACATTTGAATTTATAAATTGTTTAGATATTTAAGTAACACTTTCTATTTAAATTTATTACAAAAAGTACTATATATATATATATATATATATATATATATATTAAAGTATTATGTATTAAAATCTGAACAACCACAACACGGTGCGATTCTGAAAACCTTATATTTATCGTACATTAATAAAATTGATAATGAAATAAATATTTTGTTCACATAAATAATAATAAAATGATATATAAATATTCATAAATCATTAATCATGTTGTCATAAAAGTATTGTTAATATGATTATTTGAAATTTGGACGATATCACATTCACGTAATAAAGTATTTTCAATATTAAAATTTATATTTAGGTTCAATAATCAATTTGGTCTGGTCAAACTGATACATAACTTAATTACCTCGGACCAACCAAGTTATGTCAAGTTTTTTGACTATTTTAAATATCACCTAAAAGTAATTCAATCAAAGTGGGCAGTACCCTAATTCAATCACCCGATTGATCCAAAGTAATTTCCTTATTTTCTTTAAATATAATATTTAATTTTATGAAATAAAAATATTTTATGATTCATATGTCTACACCAAATGATAGTATATTAAGATTATAAATTATATATCCAAAGATGAACTATTTATTTTTATTTTATGCATATTAATAAAAAATAAACATAGTAATTTTAAAAAAATTAAGATTAATTGATTGGGTATGCAATTTAAAAAATATTTTTAGCGTTCAATATATATATATTTAATATGATTGAATTTTTGGATTAGAATATATATATTTAAAATAATTTTATTATTAAAAGTCAAAAAGAAAAGATGCCATAAAGATTACAACTTTGAAAAGTTTGTAACCATTAATTTATGAACCCTCCGATTTTAAATGATTTATAATTTTTGAAACATGATACGTGCATTTAAAACCCATTAATTTAGGAACCATCCAATTTTTTGATAATGAATTAAAATTAAAATATAAAATGTAAAAGTTGCTGAAAATAGTATATAATAAATGTGGTTGACTTTTCCTTACTACTATTTATGGTAAATGTTAATTCTTATTATATATATATAGATTGATCAACACGGTGTTTATCCTAATAGCATCTCCAATGATTTTTTGATTGCTCTTTTTTATTGTAATGTGACATAGTATGATAGTAATGTTAGTTGACATTCAAAATGTCTAGAAGTCTTTCTAGATATAAAAGTACTTCTAAATATCTTCTATTATTTATTATTTTATTTATTAAATATATATCTCATCTCCAATCAATTATAATCTTAAAC